AAAAACCCCCAAAACAACAAAAAAACCCAACAGTGGAAGCATGTAGACCTACTTCTCCCAAGTATTCTGTTAGCCTCTAGTCATTTGTAGTTTAGGGACTTTCTGATTGCTCTGTGTGTAGTAGCCCTGAGATCATTTTGGTTTTGGTTTTTTTTAATGAATTAGTCCAGTCTCTACTGGAGCCTGTGTGAACTTTTAGCATCCAAAACATCCCATTGCAAAGAGTTTCACAGCTTAACAACATTTTGCATGAAGAATCACTTCCCCTTGCTTGTTTTGAACCTGCCATCTCTGAGTTTCTTTTGATACTCCCTATCTTCTGACAACTCATTACTGTCTTCAGCATTCAGATACTGTGACAGTGGGCACTAGAAATTCCTAAGATAGATGAATGAGGTGTTTTATAATAATAATAGTTTTGATTTTTAACATCTGGAATCTAAAATCTATATATACTCTGTCTTTAGGCATTTTGGTCTTTGGGAGCAGATGTTCACTGTAGTTCCTTTCAACATGTTTCTGTTTTTGTCTCTGACATCCTACTGTAATGGATTAAAATAAGCAATTTGGCAACTACTCAGGCCTTTAAATAAACTTTAATAAGTCAGAGAACCATTGCATCTCTTGTGGCGCCAGACCAGCAGCTATCTATACATGGTTCTTTTCCTCTTATGCAAGGATTGTTTGCCCCCATTTTATTTTTTTAAATCTTAGCTTGCTTACACTTTTCAATAAACAAAATGCACAATAATTTCACATTCCTTTTTCTTTAGCAAAATTAGTAGGTCCTTAAGCATACTAAATCAAATCTAAAGTAGATTTTGCTTCTGATAAGTTGTATCAAGAAAATAATACTTTCTTCATTACTTTATTTGTTTTCAAATACTCCCTTCATATATTTCATCAGGAGATGCCAGAATTGTGGTAGAACAATTTTGAGATGGATGAATCCAGGAAACATTTTGTAATTGACCGCTGCTGAAAGGAAAGACAAAAGCTTGACAGCCTGATTTGATGTCTTTATCATATATTCTGTCAACTATAGACATTCTCATGAGTTCTGGTTTGATTTGCAATCTGAATATTACAGTCAGTAAGTGATTTCATCACTATTTAATTTGTGATTCTAATAGTTTTTGATAATTTTATTCAGTTTTTGTTTGCTTTTACAGACAAGTGAAAATTCAAAATAATTATGTGCTCCATCATTTTTACCTCATTGTTTATAGCTGCTCAGTGTAAAGTTTAAAATCTTAGAGCACTTAAAATATTTTTCAAGTTCAGGGCAGTTCATAATAATTAACAAGAAATGGAATTAGAAATGTGGAAATAGATTTTTAGTATTTCTTGTCTTTTGAGAGAGCGCTGTACAAGGGAAATGCATGATAGTCAGCGGTAAGTATAGATACAAATTTTAAACATTGGATACCTGAAATTTTACTTTTAGTATCAAGGGAAAATGAAATGTTGTGTTTATATTTCAGACATCAGCCCGTCAAAGGGATCTCAGTTGAGAAAAATATGATTCTGTCATCATAAATAGTGAATGAAATTTTTGCTATATATTAATAAGAAAAAAATTTGCTATATTTACATGTAAAAATATTTCCTTCAAATTGTGCTGACTTATCAGTAGTGGAATCTAGATCACCATAACTTAGGGGACTGGTTTTTGTTTGTTGCGTTAAGACCACTCTCTGTTAGAACAAAATCAGGACCAACAATCTTGAAATATATTGAGCCACAACTTGAAAATTCTGTTTCATCAGCGATGGATGCTGAGCTGTATGTCAGCTGCAGCCAGTGTCCCACATTTTCTCCACGGTGTGCAGCTATGCCACTGTCATTAAGCCTATCTACTGTTTGGTGGAAATCAAGTGGAAGTTAACAGTGAGAGTGTGGTGAATGAGAGAAAGATATTTGAACTGGACTCTTGTTAGGCACTTCTGCAGTACAAGTAAGAGATGTGAAAAGACGATTAAGTCTGAATGTCACTTCAAGCTATGCAACTGCATATCTGCTATTGCTGTTCCACAGAAGCTTCTTGTACAGACACAGTTCTAACAGAAAAGTTTGCTTTTACTAGTGTGGGTTTGTGTGCATCCACAGTAAATGAAGATTTTACTACACTGATACACCTGAGTACAGGTTCTCCTGTACACCATTATCCAAGCTAGGAGTAGTTTGATAGTTTAGTATAGTAGTAATCTCCGAATAAAAAAAGACCCCTAGTATAGCTCTATCCTTACATGAGTTTCTAACCATGATATAGTCATATCATGATATAGATATATGGTTGCAATTAATGAAGCCATATGTGAAATATTTCTAGATTCCTTAGCTGTAATGTACTAATGGTCACAATTCCTGACATGGACAGTCTTTTAAGAGACTATCGTCCTTGTAAAAAATCATCAACCAAAGAAAGAAATATACAAAGGTAGTGTGAATAGTACTAAATATGATCAACTAATGATGATATTAAATAATAGGGTAAGCCAAGACATCAAAGTCCTTCAGTTCTAGATAGTTTAAATTCCATTGAATCTAGAATACATATCTTGAAGGATATTCTGTATTACTGAAGAGAGATGCTATGTAATTAAGAATTACTGTTAATTATATTTTGGTTCTATACAAAGTTGATAATGGAAAATACGTTATGCCTTATATATTAATTATCTCCCTGTTTTTTTCTATTCTATAGTGTTTTGGCAGGATATAATGGTACTATCTTTGCATATGGTCAGACAGGTAGTGGCAAAACTTTTACCATCACGGGAGGAGCAGAACGTTACAGTGATCGAGGCATCATTCCCAGGACTCTATCTTACATTTTTGGTCAATTGCAGAAGGTATGGAACATTGTTTTCTGTTTATTTTTAATGTCTGGTTTACAAATACCTAACTACATTGCAAAAGGGTGTCTTTATAATAGTGTTAGAGGAAGCCCTAAAATTAATGCTGAAGAAAATAGCTAATTTGACATGATACCCTATGCAAGAATACATTGCTAATAGTTTTGGTTACCTGGTTTGTTGCAGTAGACAGAAAATAATGGACATCATTGTAGGGTATTTTGTTGTTTTAAAAACCATGCCATTTTTAGTTGGTGCAACATACATCCAAATCATGTAATTGGTTTTCCTGGTCTTAACACTTATATTAGCATCACTCTCGTTTTGTATTGTATGCGTTGCTTCACGTATCTTGTACAAAAATTGCTCTGAGTCCTGTCTAAACCAACAATGAAGAAAGTAATGTTCCATCTTCTATACATAAGTTTTATGTAATTTCTTTGTGCTTCGTTGATGCTCAAAGAAAAAAATCAACCCATAAAATAGTATAATGAATATTAAGCACTTTTAAATATGCAGCTATTTATTTTACCTAATACCTTTATTTTACCTAATGTTACTTATGAGCTAGAATATATTATAGAACGATAATGATAAATACATCTAGTTATGATGAAAATCTCTTTTCAAAGTCAGTAATGCAAATCCTTTAAGTATTTGAAAGAAAATAGATATCCATATTCATTTTCCTTCTCTACTGTTTTCCTTTTAATTCCAATTATGCACTTGTATGGAACGTTTTTATGTGTATATGGTACTGTACTCCCATGCCCCTGTGGAAGACATTTGTTGTGGCAAGTGAACAGGTTGATCTTGCAATTGCCTGCAACATACGGTATCAACATACCAACGTTCTTTTCTAGTGCTAATTATGTAATAAAAACAAAATAGGATGAAAAATAACTAGTTTATTTGCCACCTTCTCAGCAAATACTTTCTGCAAAAATAAAAATATTTTTGGTTTCATTTTCAGACTGAGTTTGGGATCAAAAGCTCTACTTAGTTATGCTCTTCTTGGTGTTTCATCTTTCCACCTGCACTTGTTTAATTTCTTTTTATCTACAGCTGTGCTTTGGAAAGTGCTGACATAGTGGAGAAGAGTCATCTGCCTCCTAACACGAAGTAGGGTGAAAAGGAGAGAGTGAATCCAGGGACACAAAATACAAGACTTTTGAAGCTCTTACTTGCTCTGAGACAGTGCCATTTGAAACCAAGGAAATAAACTTTTTACTCAAAATGAGAAGCAAATCAAGCCCTTTGTTTTTAATAACATCTCCTTTTAATTTATTGTTCAGAAATTCTCCTATATCCACAGCTTCCTGTTTGAACAATTCCTTACTACATTTTTTCCATCCTTCTGTAGTGTATATTTTTAAATGGTGTCCCTTGAAATAGTGAACTGTCATTATGAATTAAAAAAAAAACCCACACCAAAAAACCATGGGAAATAACTACTCAATGAAAATGAAAAGTTCATATCTCAAAGTATTTTGCAAAACTGTGGTGGACTGGATTATTAAACTGCTACTGTGAGTGTGATATGAGTGCTTTCACAGTGGCTTCATGTGCTGAAAAGAAATGACCAATTTTCTTTTATTTTGGAAATCATAGCCCATTATTTTGAGGTTTATGTTGTTTGGGTTTGGCTTTGGGGCAGGAGAGAATTCTGTCTGCAAAAACCAGTTGTGTTAAGTTACATTTTGGCAATGTATTATACAGGAAAAAATGAGGATTACAGAGAACAGCCGACATCATATACAGTCCTTAAATGTTATGATAAACAGAGTAGAAGGCAGTATGTCACTGATGTTTCTAAATGAAGTAAATCTTTATTTTTTTGTTGTGGTTCCTTGTGTTTTTTTTAAGCATAGTCTCTCTATCCATAATATGAGGGTTTACCTCTTTATAATAACATTCTTTTTTTGTTGTAGAAGTGAAAAATGGCATGTTGCATGGTACTTTAAGCAGGCTGCCATATTCTACATGTATATGGACTTTTCTAGATATAAAGAACCAATAAAAAAACCCAGACTAAATTCATGGGCATGGTGGGGTTTTGAGGGGAATTTTTGGTTTTGTTTTATTGTTGGTTTTTTTTTTTTGGGGGGGGGGGGGTTGTTGGGGGGGGGTCCCTTTTTTTTTTCTTGACCCTTTATGTTTATGGTAACAGAAAACATAAAAGTATCACAAATTGAGAATGTGAACCATACCCAGGGAAAGAAAAAGAGACAGAGTGAGGAAGCAACATAAAAGCTTCTAGTGATAAATTGTCCTCTGGTCTAGCTCTGACTTTATAGCTCTTCCTTTTTTTTCCTGATGTGTTTTTTCTTTTCTTATCTAGGATAGCAGTAAAGTGTATACAACTCACATTTCCTACTTAGAAATCTACAATGAATGTGGTTATGATTTGTTGGACCCAAAACACGAGGCCGCCAGATTGGAAGATTTGCCGTGAGTAACAAAACTACAAGGAATCATCAAAAACAACAGAAATAATTTTCAGATGCCTTGTTGCATTGTTTGGGGAATATTTGAAACTGTGCTACTAATCTCAGCGTTAACTCAAAATACTTTTCCTCAATTTTATCCACACTATCTAAATTTTCTCTTATTTTACATGTCCGGAGGCTAGGGAAACTAGATGGGAGTAACTGAAGGTGAAAGTTTTAAAAATGTATATTGATATTATGCAGAAGAGATCTGTTGTGGCTACTGAAAACAAAAGAGAAGGTATACTTGTCTTTCTCATGGCAGCCTGTCTCACTATATGCTATGCACGTGTGTGTGTGTGTGTGACAGACACATACGTAACGGGCAGTATTTCCTTGCAACAGTAGGGAGAAAAATTCCCTGCTTCTACTTGGACCTTTTATTACAAGCTTAATTATTTTTCTAAAACAAGCAATTATGAAATAAGGTAAGTAACAGATAGAAAAGGCCACAAGGCACACCAAAGGACAATATATTTACTTCAGAATGGATGACTGTTATAATAGTTTTCATTGACGAGACACTAGCATCTACTAATGCTTGGAGCAGACTAGTAGATAAAGGTGTTTAGGTCATGAACACATAAGTTTAAAGTTAAAGATCTTATAATTTATAGGAAATTCAAACCATAGTTTCTAAATTTCTTCTGAAAAAATTGTTTATTTTCTGTGTTACTCTTAAAATAACTCAGCAAAGAGTAAATATGTGTAAATAAGTTGTTGAGTGCTTGGATTTGCAAATGTCCTGAAATAATGCTGGGGACCATAAACATTCTCATTCAACATGATGATGTCTGAAGCATGTAAATAGCAATTAAATCACTGCTGATACAAGAACAGGAAATGTATTGAAAACTGCCAATGGAGCAATAATAGAAAATCAGCAGAATTTTATATCAAAGTAGCTAGTTATGTTATTAATATATTAAACCCATTTTATTTATATTAAAACAAAATCTCCCAAGTTTTGTTAAAATCTAGCTTTAGTTTTCTACACAATCTGTGGTATGTAGGACATATATCTACAAAAAAACTTTCAAGACTGATATTTGTAAAAGCTAGTGTAGATAAGGAAGGCAGCAGACAAGCTTGAGGTATGAGACTCGGCTGTAAGGTGGTCTCATTGCTTTGATATCTTCATCTGTAAATTGGAACTAAATTTTATCATTTATGACACGATGCTATAAGGACTGTATGTATTTACTGATGTCTTTCATAGTAAAAATTAAGAATTTAATTTGATTTGTTCCCTACTTTCTGTGCTATGCAGAGAAAAAATTTAAATCAGAGACTAATTTGGATAATAATTTAATTTTTGTGCCCATTTTTACAGGTGCAGATTTTTTTGCCGTTCTGTAAAAAATAGTCTGTTACTTACACCTTTATTCAGCTTATTAAACTTAATGCTATCAAGTTATTCAAGTTTAAATTATTAATTTATTAAGTTATTTGCAGTATTTTATTTGAACTAATTCAATTTATTGATTTTATTAAATTGAAGTTATTCAATTGAACTAAATTGAATTTGATTAATTTAATTGCAGCTTTATTTCAAACAGTTATTCGGGGGTCATATGCGCTAGAAAATATAACTGTTTAAAACTAGGTTCTGAATGTTTACTAATAATCATGAATTTTAGAATCTCAAAATCGGTTTATGTATGGTGATTCAATTTAGCTAAAGAATAAATCCTTGTTATGTATTAGTCCATTTCTAAAAAGTAAAAGTTGACAAATAATTTGGTTGTAAATTAGGGATAAAATGCAGTGGGATAACCATAATTACCTGTAAACTTATGTAGTGTATGCTATTACAGGCTGGGTATAGTGAGATAAGATTAGTTACTCTGCAGAGAAAAAGTTAAGTGCATAATGGTTTTACTGTACATGGTCATTACTGTTTCTGGTACATCATTTGTCAAAAACCTACGTACTGTACACTAAAACTATACCTTCGCCAAACATATTTAGCACTGTATAACAGTATTTCATAAAATATTTTTTTTTTATTTTTTAAGATAATAATTTAGGGATTCAAAATTTTAAAATATATAGTGACATTCTGAGCTAAAAAGGGAGTGCAAATTGCAGGACGGGGTAGTTGCACGAATAACTATATTTTAGTTAACTTGGTTAATTTTTGTAAATGACAAAGTAGTAGTTACACGTAAGGTAAACAGTAGTCACATATGTTAAAATATATCAGGTGTTTATTACCTAATATATATTTCATTTTTTGTGACAATTTTATGTGCTTAAGAACTTTTAAGATTTTAGTGGTAGTAAGCAAAGTACACAATAATCTAACTTCCTCAAGTTTTTGAAAGCATGTATTTAATGAGAATATTAAAAAGAATGTATAGGGGTTTGTACTTTAAAAGGGTTATATTATGCATAATTTCCTGTTGAACCCCACAGTGAATCATCAAGGTTTTAAGCACCATACAAAGGCAAATGCCGGTTTTCTATGCTTGGGTAGATATTAGCGCTCTGTGCTGGTATTTTCCCAAGTGTATAAGATGGACAAGAATAGTGTGGAAGAAATGTGTCATTTTTGAAGAGTAAACAAAAGATTAATTAGCTTTGTAAAGCATGCAGATTGTTTTGGAACAGTATTGTTATCCATATTCCTGCAAATTCTGCCTAGCAAATTCTATGTTAATGACTTTATGTTATCAGTTCAATGGAAGGAATAAAAACAGAATGATGGCATTCAGGTAATAGAAGTTATTGAAAATGTGCAACAGGCTTGTTGATAGTACTTGAAAAAAGAGACATGAAATTGTATTTGAGCTTTAGGGGAAAGTGAATGATAAAAAATTTTTAAATTGCTAATTACATCTAATCATTGCACGATTAGCTTTGGAATCCCAGCTCCTGAAGTCAATGTTTTGTGTGTAGCCATCCTTTGTATATTCTGTAGACCGTTAAATTTTCACCTTAATACTTCATCATTTCATTAGAGTCTGCTAGATGAGAAGGGAAAAGGCTGTCACAAAAAATCACTACTACTCTGGAAATAAAATCCTGACAAATGTGTGAATGTAGTTAATATATCTTATATGCCTATCTATATGCATATACATTCATATATAGAATGACAATTATTTATGTATGCATATGTATCATGTTTCTAATAGGTACAGATATTTATACATCAACTAAATTTGGTCTTGAAATCCCATTGAACTTTTTTTCACAGAAAAAAACCCCAGTTTTCATAATGTTTAGTTGTAATAATATTACGTGTAGCCCATAGAAGATGTCATTTGATATACCTTAATGCTTCATACACAATATGGCATAGTTTACAATTGTAACTTGTTTTGTTTAAGCAAACCTCACTGTTTTAATTTTGTGACACTGTACTGAAAAACAGCACATGCAGATACATTTGAAGAATCTTATTTATTAAAATGCAAAAATTTAATATTGGCAATAAATTTAATATTGGCAATCGAATTGTGGTTGTAGCTGTAGAGTTCCATGTTTATACAAAGAAATTAAGATTGGTTTCAAACACGTAAAAATGATAAAACTATTGCTATAAAATATAGCTGGTAGAAGACTATTTGAATCCTTACTGCCATCTCTTGTTTTCATAAAAGATTTGCAGGACTGTTCAAATTAGGAATTTTTTTTCTGAAGCTCTTCATTTGCTCTGAGGTTGTGCAAGATGCTTTTTCCTGTAACAGGTTCCCTGTTGTACAGTGTATTTGTAACTTATATAACTCCATGATAATGAATCAAACCAATTTAATTTAGTGTTAACCTACCAGTACAAACACTTCCTAACTAGTTTGTATTATTTATTAAGAACTAAGAATTTTCTTGGCACTGAACAGTAACACAAAAATAAAGACTAGAGTCTATAGAACCATTACTCATAGATTAAGTCAGTACAACCAATAAGTTACCACTTTACCTGTCCAAACTATAGCAGGTGATGGTCTTGCATGTGAAGGCAATCAAAAATTAATGGTTTTTTACCTTAAAATGACAGTCTTTAAACCGCAGTAGTTGAGGAGCTACTTCTTAGAGAGCTGAGAGACAAGCATTAATCAGGAGTGATGTGGCTGGGAGAAAAGGTAATCTAAAATGCCAGCCAGCATAAATGATTCCCCATTTTTGTGTGAAGATTCTTTATAGTCCTCTTTGATAGGGGAAATGTATAAGATTTAGTATGATGTTGGCTAACTTTAAAAAACAAAAACCTCCACACACAAAAACCCCGACAAAAACCCCAAAACCCAAACAAAAAACAGCTTATGCTCCAGAAAGATGCAGTTTATTTGGACTATAGATTAAGTGAACTCAATTCCATAAAAAGGAAGACACTTTAAGCAATGAGCCAATTAACTTCAAACATCAACAATGATACCTATATCAATATCTATTAGTAACATGCAGAACTGTTATGTTCCATGGGGTCAGTCTAAAATATTTTAAATTTTTTAAAAAAATCTATAACTGAATATTGGTTAACTACCTCAAATGAATTTACACTCTAAACCAACTAGTATAATAATTCCTGTGCTGCTTAACAAAGAAGAAAAAAAAGTCAAAAGGAATAATTTTCAACATACATGAAATATATTTTATTCAGTCTGATATTTTTGTTGCAAATACACCTGTTGCCTCTCTCCAGGCTCAACAGCATTAATGTCAACCCTTCATCTTTTCAATGACTGTACTAACCATGTCATCTAGAAACCGGCCACCGTCTTCAAGAACTATATTTTTAGTGTTCTGAGAATTACCAGTGTAATTTCTAAGGCTAATAATAATAATTGCTCACTCTTTTCATATGAAATACATTATTTCAAAATGAAGAGTGTTCAGTGTGTTACTAGTGAATACTAAAGATTAGGAGAATCTTAAGGTCTGTAAATTTTAGTTTTTCTGTTTGTTAATGGGGAGACAGCTGACAGCTGTTCTGAATCATTTCTTCAAAGATTTTGTTCATTACAGTTCAAACAAATTATACTTTACATGTGTAAAATAACTTCAGCATATATTTTATATTCTCTATTCCCATCCAGATTTTATGTTGATTTGTTTCCTGAAAACCAGTGGGAGTAAGTCAGTGAAACTTTTCTAAGGTGACTTTTCTAAAGGCATCAAATGATGTTCAGATTATTGCTGTGCTGTTCAAGGCAACATTATTTTGAATATCAAAGTATTATTTCACTAAGAAATTTTTGCGAGTGAGATTATTGCAGTTGCCTACAAATTCTAACATCTCATGTTTCTTTTGTACATGAACCACCCATCTCATTGTTTCAGTTGTAACTCCTTGTTCTACACGGTGGGGTGGGTGGGGGAGAGAGCTGGTGCAGGGCTCTTTCTGCTGAATCTCAATTGGAAAGGCCCGACAACAATAGCTTAATAAGGTAACTGCCTTAATAAGACAGGATGAGAGGACGACTATAGATGGCAAGTAAATCTTACATCCCATCAGATGCTGGGCACACCACGTTTGTGCAGCATCGGATGGAGCCCGAATGGATTTCCCCACGGCGTGCTGCACAGCACGGATCCTGTCCGTGGAGAGAAGATTTCCCCTTCGGTCATTCGAGCTATTATAGAATGTCCTTACAAGAAAACAGCTCCATTTTGAAGGGTGTGCTCATGAGAACTTCTTACGGCATTTTTTGATAAAGGCAAGGCCATGCAGGTGGTGTGATGACCAGGTAGGAGCTGCCTGCAGGCTCTTCTCTTACATTGACCTGGCTGAATTTATCCTGCAGCCAAGGGGTCTGTGTGGCATGACGCAGCCCTGAATGCCATGCTGCTGTGCCTGCTCAGCTTAACTGCTACATGGATCACTAACTTCTAAATGTGCAACAGTCTCTCAGTCAGTATCAATACAGTCCCACAAAATGGAGAACAAGCAAACTGTGCTTTTCTTATCTCACATGTAGAATTCATCAGAGACAGTGGGAAGGATTTCCTGTCACCATATGACGTGTCAGGAGAACAGCCCGCACCAACATTTATTCATCTCATAGTTTTGTCATGTCTCACAAGCTAAGATTATGCTCTAGTTCTATGCTTGAATGGAAAAATCAAACCTCTGCACTATTGAAAGCTATGCTGGTGCCTGAATAACTTGTAACCTTGCCTCTTGAGTCAGTGTTGACTTTGTCCTCTGATGTGGTATTCAGGGAGCTATACTTCTGAAAGATAATTTTTTTTGGATGACGTATAAAATGATGATCTTGGCCATTCTTTCTTAAAACCTAAAGCTCCTTGCAACTTTACACAAAGATTAGCTATAGTTATCCTTTAGTTTATTCTGTTCTTCTGGACAGACTCCAAGATGTAGGCTTGCTGCTTTTCTGTTTTATCCTTTTCCTAAATTTATTATTTGCTGTATAATCTCCTCCTTGTGCTGAAGTAGTATCACTATATTCTGCTAATGTATTGTCATAGAAGGTATGTATCCTCATATAGGATTTGCTTACATCATTATGATTAATTTTTAAATGTTTATGAAGTTTTTGAGATTATTTTAGATTTCTTCAATTCTAAGCCCTAGACACAGATACAATCATAGGAAACTTCATTTCATTAAAATTGTCTTTTTTTTTCCAAAATCTTTTAAGTGTTTTTATTTATATTACACAAATTAATGAGATGGTATTAATTAATCAAAGGAAGCTTTAACTTCATTGTTTGCCAGTTACAGGAATTTGATAAAGGAAAGCATTCAATGTATAAGGCTTTCTTGCATTAACGGCAGATCAGTTGATGCAGGAAAGGGCCTCAGTCAATAACAATATAAAAAAGGCTGACCCATCCTACAGGTTTCCTAGTCAGCTATGAATTCCATCCATTAAGCCAAATGGAAAAGATTCTTTGTTTATAAAGAAAACAAAACCTTGTCTCTGCCTTCTTTCAGTCATTATGGATAACTTAACAGAGCTTTTCCACTTCAAGATCCAAGTTAGGGCTATGAAATTTCACTAATATAGAGAATGTTCTATAGAAATCTTTTATCATATTATACAGTAACTTTATAGGACTACAACATAAATAATTTTGTTGTCATTTTGGAACGTGTCTTTCTGAGAAAGTTTTGAGATGCCTCTCAAGGTGTGCAAATTTAGACTTTCATCTGGAAATCCTCCTAATATCTGCGAGGCCGCTGTATAGAGACTGTCACTGGTTTATGATGTCCCCATGGTCTCCTTTCTGATATAATAATCCTCCAGAGCTTTTCGTCCAGGCTAATGTCTTTGTTGTCTGGAAATTATTTATAACCATTGTTCAAAATGTAGTCTGAAAACATCCTTAAAATTTTAAATACTATGCCAAGTGTGCATAGTAAAACAACATTGTTTTCCTAAACTGTGGAACGATGTAGATGATGCTCACCATGCAATTTCAAAATATTAAAATTAGTCAAAGCATCATACTGTAATCAGAACCATTCTGGGCTTTAGTGTGTGATGCACGCACAGATGGAATTGCAGACAGAATACAACTTGATGTAATCAAAACATGGTTATGTAAGAGCAGAATTATGCTTTTGGGTTTGTACTCTGAATGGGGGAAGCAGAGTTTTGTGACTCTGCTAGTGTTCTCTTACCCTGCTGCACAAAAATAAGGCTATAAGTGAGAGGCAATCATATTTGGAAAAACAATTGTTATGACTACTACAGGAGCATTGTGTGTACTTTTACAAGTATTTTTATCTTGAAAATAGTGAGTGTGTTGTAATGTGTTGAAATTATTTCTGCATATCCATTCCAATGTTTTGACCAGCAGAGGGTGAACTACTTCCCTAATACTTAAGAGTAATACTATAGAATGCTGCTGAGCTGCTTGATTTGATTCTGTCAGTTTTGGGGGAAAAAAGACAAGCAAAACAGAACAAAACCCAATCTGTGTGGTTTTCAAGCAGCTTGGAGTAATTAACATGCAAGAACTACCTAGAGATAAAAATTCAAGCCCCATACTCCCTCTTGTGGTTAACCTTGAACAATATGGAAATATATATATACACAGACACATATACATTTACATATATGTGTATATACACATAGAAAGTATTCTCTGTACTTACAGGGAAAAAAAACCCAAAAACTCTGTTTTAAAACAACAAAACACAAACTTCTAACTTTTAAAAAAGTTCTAATTTGCTTGTTTTAAGTTGTCTTAGAACATGTAATTCACCCTGAACAGGTCTTTCATCCTCAGAATTAGTGTACTTCAGTTTTAAGAGTCTTCACTCTAGGAGTTTTCCAAATCCAGTGATGCAACTACTTGGCTTCCATGTTGGATACTGTAGAATGTCCTAACTGAGGAGACCCTAATGGCTACTCGGTAAAGCCAATAAAGTTTAACGCTCAGTAACCTGATCAAAAGAAGAAAATATTGTGTAAAAGGGCTATTTAGAGAAGTGAAAAGGAGTTTCAGTAATATTTAGCAGCTCTCTTGGAGCTTTTTCTCATATCCTTGCTACTTCCATCTAACTTCCTTCTTCTGAACTTTAAAGCTTCAAGAACTACAACTAAAAGCATTTCTAACCTCAGTGGAAAATAAATAGACTCATTCTGTTTGCTTGCTTTTAATTAAAGAAAGGGATCATTTACATTTGTAGTTATTACCATTTGAGAAGCATGAAAAGAGAAATAATCTTGACAAATGCAAAGTTATTAGAAACATGTTGGCTTATAGATGTGTTGATTCTGAAATATTCCATGCCTATTTGTTCATCAAGATTATGGTATGCTTTGTGTATCACTTGTGCTTAAATAGCTGTGGTAATGGCAAACAAACTCCTACTTATTATTTGTTTATGATGATCCATCTAACCTCTTGCTCTTGAGATTTTACTATATCTCATTAAAAAAAAAAAAAAATCCCAAAGCTTTCTCTACTAGTTATATGTTGTATCTATTCCTTTCCTCTGTGGAGAATATTTATAATATTTATGATAAAGGTGTAAAAGGGAGGTGACAGAGTAAAAAAGAATAAAAAAGTACTTCCTTTAATTTGCATCATGTACTCATCATGATTTTGGTTCTTTTATTGTGATTGGGTTTGAGTTTTAGATGTCACCTTTTAGGTGCAATCAAAATTAAAGTATGGAACAAAGATTGCCTTACAACAATTCTAGTTTTCTCTTTTTGTTTGTTTTTTCCATGTAGAAAAGTGATAATAATGGAAGACCCTGATCAGAACATTCATCTGAAAAACTTGTCTCTTCAGCAAGCAACCAATGAAGAGGAAGCCTTAAACTTACTCTTCTTGGGAGATACCAACAGAATGATTGCTGAGGTGAGAATTGCTGATACACATCTTTTTTACCACCACCAGAGGTTAAAATGTTCATAAACTTCTCCACATAAGATGTATGTTTTGGAAGTCCTTGGAGATACACAGAAAGAAGATACTTACTCATTTATTTCCACAATGAAATTAAATAAGCATTTCTCTGATTATAGGTTTCACTTTGCAAAGAGCTTTCTGTTTTTCCTTAGTGAATCTGATTGGTGGCTGTTGATGTCATAACTTACTGCAATTAAAATAAGTAAGAAAAAAAAAATTCTCATAAACCATAGACTGACTTTTGAATGTGGCATGTATCAACACACGTACACATTTTTCAAAGATTGGAAAACATGGCCTTACAAAGCATTGTCAAACATTCCTACAGAAGTACTAAATTGCCTTTGAAGTAGTTACAGTAAGAGTTAGCAGTTCCCTCTTTTTTTCTTCTTATTGCATAAACATGTGGTGTTATGTGTAAAAACACCCCCAACCAACCAAACAAAAAACATCTCAAAAAACCCCAAACCCCAAATGGTAGTGTAAAGCATAGGCAAAATAAGTATTTGCCAATATGGAAAGACAAGGGTGTTTTTACGGATTCTGGAAAATTCAAATGAAATATTTCCCTATCCAATTAATAAAACCTGTAGGGTTGTTTTTTGGTTTTTTTTTTTCCTTATCTTCTTACTTGGAAATGGAATGTAAATATAAAAAGTGTATTGTATATCGTGAGCACTGCCAGTGTGTTTTTGCCACAAAACAGCTAATTCTATTTTATAAATTTTGTGGGTTTTCTTCCTTTGTCTGACCGGAAATGTATATAATCAATCAATGAAGAGAAAGACATTTAAAGTATATGAAATAGTCAAGTAGCTCTCTGTTCCTGCTGGCTGACCACGTACACCTGGACACAGGGGAAGAAGTGTTTGATTACAAAATGTAAATAGGCAAAAACCCGATTTGTTCTCTCTTTCTCAAGGGAGACTATTTCAGCAGTGACATTCTGAGAGGCAAAAATATGTTAAGGCAAGAGATAATCAAGGTGTACTTAGGGACTGTTAGTAGATATGAATGTTGCGGCAAGGAACCATTTGATGATATTGAAATGGAAAAATTGATACCATTTAGAGGAGAGAAACTTGAAAAAGTGTAGCAGAGGAGAGAAAGATGACATTGAGTTCAGAAGCCTGAAAAGCTATCATGATAGTTGGTAATGAAAACAGAAGAAGAAAGTTCATTGCATGGAAAAAGACCTTCAGGAAATCTCTGGTTGGTTTAGAGGAGCTATGTATGAAAATGAGACAGAATATTTAAAAAATGATGTGCTGCTTGCTGACAAGGTCACAAATCACCAATTGTAAAGGGCAATTGACTTATATATTTGGAAAATGTTGCCTAAAGAGAAAATATATCCCAAACACCGAAAGTCATGAAAAAATAGCAGGGCTAATGAAGATGCTAAGTCATTAAAGGTCAAGATGAGGTAATGCTCAATAAAACTAAAAGAATATTCTTAATGGGTCAGACTAAAGATATGTCTGGTCCTGTTTCCTATTTTGAGCAATGGCCAATAGCAAATATATAGAGCTGAGTAAAAGATAAGCCAAGTAAATAATGATATTTTGAAAAAAATCTCCTAATCTTCATTAGTTTGTGTTTCAAATTATTTATAGATAACAACTTTTGTTGCATTTTTTCTTTACATGAATTTGCCCAGATGCTTTTTTTTTAACCTCAGTAAATTTTTATCATAAATAGTGTGTGACACGAAGTTCTGTAATTTAACTGTGTCGTGCGAAGAAAAATCTCCTTTAGCTTATTTTTTAACCTACAACTTGGTAGTTTTATTTGGAACGTTCTAGTACTTGTGAGAAAACAGAAGAATAGGCATGAGAATGTGTGAGATTTCAGTAGTAGAGAATTCACTAAACTGAGTGGCTTGCGTTAGCAAATGCTATGCCATTGTCACTTTTGCTGCTTTTGCCACAGCAGGAGTTCTTTGTTATATAAACACTATAAAGTTCTCATTTCGTTGGTCTTTAATGAAGAGTATTTTAAAAAAAACCCAAAACACCAAAACCAGAGAGTACTTGTTTGGAATAACTACTACCCATTGCAACAATATTTACTTTGCTTAGTCTGAAGGCTAATATGATTCCAAAAACCTCAGATGAGATGGATTTCATTGTAGAAGTTTTATTTCTGTAGTTATCTCATACATTGTTCCTTTGCAATTGCAGTAGGTACGTTGCAGTACAGTTCAGTGAGCTTACTGAGTGCTGCTTCCTCTTAGGCATCACAGAATCTATCAGCCCTCATCATTTGGCATTTTTGGCTTTAGGTGGCTGTGGTACTTTATATGATGACTTAATAGAATGAGAAAATAGTCTTTGCAGAAATGAGAGAGTAATGTAGAGGCCTATGGAAGAGGACTCATGACACCAGCCATAACTTCCTCCTCAGAGATCCGTTTTTAAACCTTAATTAAATTATGATAACACTTCTTGACCTCAAAAAAGATTAGGACCCTATTTAAGTAAACTTTAAAAGACACAAGATGAGTAAACTTAAATACAAACAAAAGTAAAAGAAATGCTTGATTCATCTTTTTTTAATGATGAGGAGTTTGTCTATGGAAAAACTAAGATGACTGTCACAGATCACATATGAAATCTGTGGCAGAACTGCAGCCTCTAAAATTGCAATCTAATGCTTTACTCCTGAGATAACTCTTCTTTGAAGAGTTGCAGGACCATTTTGAAAATAAGAATGATAATTTAATTTCTTCAGAATGCCTCTGCTAGTGGAGTCTTAACTTGTGATTTGAGTGCTACATTTTGCCCTCACCACTGACTGTGCTACAAAAGAAGCAATCATAATATTAAAAGTATTCTATAGGCTACACTTATTCATTCATTATATGTCAGAACCTAAAGGAACGTTTTTAACCAAATACTCCTTTCCCACACATAACTATATAGCTCATGAGAAGGGAAAAAGAGGAAGCTGATCTAAATTGTGCAGTATTGGTTTATAGGTCAGTATAGGACTGATCCTTTGCTCTAGTTTTGACATGGACTACAAGTTGTGGAAATGGTAAGATAGGAGACATCTGTGCACAAATACTTCAAAATGTAAAAAATCCAAATAGGAAGTTTTCATGTCTTATATTTTGCCAGGGAGCAATGGGCAGAGAACAAACCCAAACCCCCCTAATTCTTTTGCTGGCAGCTTTTCCAACTGTAAGGGCTATATTCTTGTTTGTTTGTTTTTCGCATAAAACGTAGAGGTTTTGTTATATTTGAAGGCATAAGAATCTAAGTAACAGCTTACGAACAAAATTGGAATTTATTTTTTATATTTTAATTTTTAAAGCCAACGTGATGATTTAGGTAGCTCAAATACATGCAAATAAAGGATTCTGAAATCTAATTTGCATGTACGGCACAGGTAGTAGCAGCAGCAGCATCTCAAAAAATCTCATGTACAGAAATAAGTGTTTGAGCATTTAGGTAGCATTCACAAACAGTTTTATTTGGGTAGATATACTATTAACATGTCTTGAGCTGAAGTAGTCTTTCTAAATTATTGTGATTTTTCTAAATTCTTGTGATGGGAATCTCTTGTGATTGCTGTCCTTTGAAACAATATGCCTGAACTTCTGTGATTTAGAGAATTCTTAGTAGTTTTTTAGTATTTCTTTTAAAATAACAGAGTGACGTAGACCCAGTACCCTCCCAAAGGCATGCATCAATTTCAAAACTGTGAAATCATTATGTGAGATTGATATGTCTGAACATTGCAGTTACATGTACATTTAGCATTTGTTTCTTCCTCTAAAGAAAACTTACTTCATTTTAATGAGGAAGGAAACATTTTAGTGCATAGTTTTATGCCTATGATACTCCATTGTTTAAATTTGGAAGACAGTGCATACTACACACTATTTGTTCCATCATTTAAAATGTTTGGAGTATGCACAGGGCAAGCAGTAAGCTTTTAGCAATGTTTAAATATGTTTATTTCAATAAAGAATGAAACATTTAAACATTCAAAGATGGTTGTGGGGACTGACTGGTGACCTCTGAATTGGACTCGTTCCCTTCTTATTTATTTTTATTGTCCATTAGTATTCTCTTGAATATATTTAGAAAGCCACTGGTAGTATTTGAATGTGTTTTTTTTCTTGGATGAAATATGAAAAATAGGATTTGAATGTGTGAACACACAAGATTAAATGACATTTTTGCCAAGAAGGCATGTTATCCATGGTAGAGCTACATTCCAGAATGAATTACAACTTTCTGCTTTCCTAGATTCCTCATTGGTGTCAATTGTTAATTTATTTTCACTCTGAGAAAGCTGTTCTATGGTATCATCAGTGCCAAATGGCATCATCAGTTCAGCACAGGTGCTTTCATTTCCATGTGTGGTAAAACAATCACTGGTCATATGTACTACTTTGAATAGTCCTTAAAGTGCTTTGGGATTTATATGGATAAAAGGCACTGTATAACATAAAGTTTAATAATAATCTCCTTAGGGAATATTAATTACTTTAAAAGTTACCTTGGTTACCATGGTCTAACTGTGAAATTGTACCTGTAGTAAATACAGAAAGATAAAGCATTGCTTCTAGAAATCAGGCAAGTGTCAGATCGCACCTATTGTGATCCTTCTATTTTCATAGCAATAAATTTGCAATTTCAACTGTGTCATGAGCACCTAAGTACATCTGAAGAGCCCCTTCACTTGTACCATATTAATCAGAAAGGAAGCTAAAGATATATTGAGGTCTCACTCATCTACCAGATGCAGGAACCTCCTATTCTTCACCTTACATACTCTTCAATATAGCATGGTTGTATTGGAACAGGTAGAATTTATATTAATTAGACAGATATATCCACTGTTTTTCAACAAAGAATATCTGCTCCTTTAGCCTTACAGACACTTAGATGTTCTGTGCAATAAAAGAACAATATGAAAACACCAGAATATTCTAAGGATGAATTTCAACCTGTGAAGCAAACTGCGTTAAATTGTTTTGTTATTGTTCTTGTAGGACACAATGGCTCTTTTCTTACCACCTGAACTGTGAAATGACTAAAGCTGTCAGAACTTCTTCCTACAGGTATCCATCTGATTGTAACTTGAGATTGGAGAAAATCAATCTGATATCCGCCTTGGATGCTATCAGTGTTTTTCTCTTTTCCCTTGCCCTTCTTCAAAAAGTTCAAAGCGAAAAAAACTTAAGAAGGAAAAGAAACCCTCCTTAAAACAAAATTGTGTACCTTTTCACTGAGACTTTCTCTCTCTCAAAAAAAAAAAAAAAAAAAAAAAGAAGCATTCAGAATCAGCCTTTCTTCATTTATGCCTTGGCTAGTCACTAATTCAATTGTACAAGAAAATTGTGGTGGTCTGATGTCTAAGTATTTTGATTTGGAGAAGAAGAGATTCCACTGGAACTGTATAAACTGCCAAGTGGAGATGGTCTGCAATATGGACTGAACGACTGCATTTATCACATGTGAAATCTTTTGTCCCAGCTGTCCTGAACTCTTTTCTGTATTTTCTCTGTATGAGTGTGTTTGGCAGACATAATCAACACATTATTCTTCAAGATAGTAGCAGCTTCTTTTGGTCAAATGATGATTTTCAAACAGCCTTTCACATGTTTTTTTCCTACTTACGAAACTTTCTCCTTCTTAGGTCCTCAATTATTAAGAACTCTATTTAGACCATTAGCATCCTGTTTCTGGCTATTCTTAGTGAAAACAACATTTATAATAGCAGCTGCAACAAATAATGGATTTGGGAAATACATAAATTCTTGTATAGGGAGGAACTCCTGCACTGTTTTATTGCTTTAAGATAGATAACAATTAGATTAAGATGGATAAATTAGGCTTCAGCAAGTTTTTGGACCTTTCATGATCTTATATTCCTTTCAAGAAGCATCTGATTTGTATGTTTCTGTCAATATGGCTGTGCTGCAAGTTCTCATTTAAGTAGAAACTACTTTCTTGCAACCATTGTGTGAATGTATGTAATGGTTTAAGTCACAAAGCTTCTATACAGTTTATTTAATTTCAGCAAACACAGGTATATCCTGGTCCTGGAGAAAAAGGAGACTGGGTTATGTGGCTTGAAGTACCTCTTGTATATATTTTCCAGCATCAAACAAAACACTGATGCTTTACCAAAACATGATCTTGAAAGATATGTTTTTGAATTCCTCTTTTACCATGCCACAAATGGGCAGCAACAGATGACCTGGCATTAATTCCTTTGTAGTGTTCATGTGATATCACAAAGCATCTGAAGTCTGTTTATGTGGTTTATGATGTCACAGAATTCCTGGAAAAAATTATTTCTTTGTAAGTAACTGCAGCTCATCAGTTGTTCTATATATATAACCTTCACAATAGCAACCATCTGCTAAGAGCCAGGCCACTCCTCTCTTTCTTTTTTTTCCTTCATCACATCAAATTAGTGTGAGGATGATTTCATATACATGTGGTTTGAATACTGCTAACAAAGCCAAACTGAACTCTGAAATCCACTAAAGGAACTTTTTAGTAGGTTCTGAGACACAGTCCAGAATTTTTTGTTTGTTTGTTTAAGTTTACAAACTTTCAGAACAGCTGAATTGTGATACTCTGAAGTTGCACATGTAAGATAGGAAAAAAAAAAAAACCAAACCAACCCAACCCCAAAACAAAAAACACCCCACTTATTTTTGGACTGAAGATGCTGACAAGCTGTCATTTCTGTTGCTGTGTGCTCTGTATCTACTTGTGTGGTAAAAGTAGCAAAGTGGGGGGGATTATGAATGCAGTTAACATTTCATCATCACATCCCATTTAACAGTTTAAATTTTTATTGCCTTATGCTTCCTAAAAGAGTTCTAATAGAGCTTTCTATATATGGCAACAAAGTGGAGATAGAATCCTACTGTAAAAAGGAGTATTCGTGTATTGATTAAAGCATGGTTCTACTCTGAAGAAGGACTTTATAGAAATAGCAGTTTAGGATTCAAGCCAATGACTTCCAAATCATCTTCACTCATTTTACATGAAAAAAGAAGTTGTGGAGAGAAAAGCAGTGGAATTTCTAATGAGCAGCCCAGCAGAATCTGCTTGGGATGTGGAAAAACAAGCTGTGGCTAGTGTTGCTATAAAGACCTAATAAGCCAAATATGGCCTGGAGCTTTTTGGAACTCAGAGTCCTGAAATTATTTTCTTTTATGCTTTAATTTTTTGGGTTTTTTGCCTCCATTGGGGCTAAACAGGTGTGACTAAAAGCACAGTTTAAAATACATGAGGTTTAGCTTGCATAGTGAAATTTAAGTTTGCTTAAGAATGTTTATTCTGAAATATGCTGATTTTTTTTTTTCTCCTTTCATAGAAACCTTTACTTTGTGCTTCCATAGGTAGACCTGTATTGATAGTCGATCTGGCTTAGACTTGGCTGCAGTATAGTGTGACCGATGACACAGCTGTGTGGCCTCAAATATCAGTTATGTTGAGGAGAATATCCATAAATATTAATTCTATTGTGGATTTTGAGCTGGAAAAATAAAATAGCCAGTCCTGCTTCACAGAGCTGCAAGTAGTGAAATCATAGCTCTCCTAGTAAAATACGTGAAGCTGGCTCTGATTATTCATGGAGTCAGAATTGCTGAATAAAGTACATTTTAACAGCATATAACTTTTTCTTAGTATAACTGCATTTTAAATATGTTTGGGATTATTTTCTTGCTTTTCAAAGCTTGATAGAGCTGTACCTTTCCCTGAGTCTGTTTGTTTTCATTCCCATGCTACAAGTCACTTCAGCTTGGCCTCTCAAGACAGCGTGTCATGTGGCCGCACTCTGATGCTCCTTTCACAAGATTGTGAAATGATCCTTAGAAACCAGGCAGTTAAGCAAAGCCAGTGGCTTGACTATATCATTCCAAAATTCCTCATCTGTATAAACTAAATGATCAAAACTCTTCTCCCTCTCCCGCTGAGCTTGGCTTTATTAGGTAAAACAGCCCAAATCAAGAGAGTGCTAAGGCTTTAATTTCATTACAGAATTTTCACCAACAACTACAAGCGGACGCTATTCCTGCACACCACCTACTTGTTCACACGCTGTATGCTGCCATTTTCAATAATTCCAGCAGAACTGCTTTCTACTACTGTGCTGTGACCGACTTGGGAAACTGATCCAGGTTAAATATCTAGGGCTTGCAGATTTTTTTTTTTTTCTTTTTTTTTTTTTTTTCTTTTTTGAGGTGGATCAGTTCTCAAAACCAATTCAGTTGTGCTGGCACTATTAAGGCTGGAGAAAAAAAAAAAAAAATAGGGAAATTGAAGAGGAGACAATTCAACCAAGAGGTATAGCTGTTCATATTATTCCTGCTAAAGGAATATTCAGCTTGCAGTCTCTCTGTTGAGAGCCATCCTTTCTGGATTAACACGACACCACCTTCAACACCTGCAATGGACAGGCTACTTTAAAATCTAGAATGTTTCATACCAAAGCAGACTATGGAGAAAAAAGTGCAATATGTTGGTATATCTAGTCTGAATCATAGGGTATGCCTAGATAAATAATTACTGTAGAATAACAAAGGAACAAAGTATAGACAAGAGATTAATGTATACACTTTAAACAAGATTTTTTTTTAATAATCTTTTTAAACAGCTATAAATAAGTGTATATTTTGTTGCTAACTAAATATTTATTTATTTATTTATGCCTTGTTTTCTGCACGTATTTATGCCCTGGTAACATACTTGTAATAGTTTATAAATAAAAATACTATTTGTATGATAAACCTTTAATCCCCATATATATTCTAAAGCCTAAGCCATTTATAAAATGAGGATAATAAGGAATTCTTTTAGTTTTAAGTTTGTAACAAGAGCTTGACATAACTAAACAAAAGAGACTTTAGATGCTTAAAGATTTTTTTATATGTTGCTTAAGAAAAGTGCATGTGTGATGGCATATGGTCGTTTGAAATCTAAAATTAAATATATGAGAGCTGTTTAAAATTTTTTGTTCTGCATTTCAAATATGTTTGGATTACCACTAAAGTCATACTAAAGCTGAGTATCTCTAAAAATTGACCAAGAATGTCCATGTGTCTAGTTAAGGAAGTATGGCAGTAGCTATTTCAAATAATAAACCTTTTATGAAAACTCTATCATGCCATATAAAATTCTGATATTGATTTTGCCAACTTAATTTTTTTCATAAAAGTAATGAAACTGTGAAAGTCTAAAGCCTTATAGAAAATTCTAGTCTTAGTTACACTGGTAGCTATCTAGCAAAATAACCGTAGAAATAGGCTTACCAATGGAGAAATTGGTAAACTCTCGGAGATCAGGAATTAGTAAGTTTACCTCCGACCAAGGTGCCCTTTTCTAGCAGTATTCCCCAGCATAGCAAGGCCAGCTGCTTTACTGATATACTCGCTGTTAGAATACCTTGGAACAAGGATAGTTTCTTGCTTGCTTGCAGTACAATTTGTGCAGATTAAAGTTATCTGAATGTTTGGCCAGAATGTGAGTGCCAGGTAAAACCTTTTGAGTTCTGTTTGCATATTTATTACAGGTGTAATAACTAAAAAATTAGGTGATTTCAATTTCCAGATTTTTGAGCTATAAAAAGCTAAATTTATTTATTAAATGAACTTTGAGGACTCCTCTTTTCTTTTCATTGTAGACACCAATGAATCAAGCCTCAACTCGATCTCACTGCATTTTCACTATTCACATCTCCAGCAAGGAACCTGGTTCTGCAACTATTCGACGCTCCAAGCTACACTTAGTAGACCTTGCTGGATCAGAGCGTGTTGCAAAGACTGGAGTTGGAGGTCACTTATTGACAGAAGCCAAATATATCAACCTGTCATTACATTATTTGGAGCAGGTAAAATTGGAATAGCATTTCTCCTTTTATAACGTTCCTGTTTAGTACTGTGCAATGTTTTGGAAATCTTGATTCCAATATTCAGTTAGTCTTAGGAGTGTGTATTTATTGCAATTTTTTAAAATGTTTGAGTTTAATTTGAAATAAAATATTTTAATTTAGGAAAAGCTTAACAGTTAAACAGTAAGGATATAGTATGTGTAAAGGGTAGCATTTCAAAAATAATTTTCTTGTTTTATTTGGAATGCTAAAGATATTTACAAGAGTGCAGCTGTATTTCTGCTAAAAATTCTCTTTGTGATCTTCACCTCCTTCCACAGCTGGGATCAGGATGTGTCACTGAAGAATCTTTGAACTAAAGATTTTCAGTAATTGATTTTCATTTGGTTCAAGCATTGTAATATTATAAAGCATTAGGCTCTTCTCTTATTTGTTGTTTTATTCCTCTACCAATGTGAATCTTTGATCTCTTTGAGACAAGAGTTACCTTTGTTAATGTGTTTATGGAGTAACTACCATAACTAATTTTATACCAATAGGACTTATATTTGCAACTGTAATAATAACAGTAAATCTCTACAAATCTTTGTCATTCAGCTGTTGTTACTGAAAAAGGTTTAGCCTGTTGATTTAAGGTATACTAAAATCCCTATCCTCTTCGCACTGTTGCTCTTTATTTTTTTAAATTTATTTTATGTGTTATTTAGTAAAACTTACAGTTGAGGAAATCCCTTAAAACAGAAAATTTTGTAGGTGCCTATGTGAAAATTCTTTAAATTAAGATTAGGAAATATAACTGATTGTCCTGCTTATTGGGAAGAATATTTTTCATTATTGTTTTGTGTGTTTTTCTGTTAACAAGAACAAATGTCTTGGATTTCATTTACTCTGCAATCCGATATTTTATCTGTCAAAAGAAGCTTAAGGCACAGCAGGTGGCAGTCAGTCATTTACTATTACACTGATTTTATTTTTTTTTAATATCCCCCTTTTGTTTAAATTTTGCCTTGAAATAAAATGTCTGTATTTCAGTTGTACTCATAGGAAGTGATAAGGGTAAGTGATTCTAAAATGGACCTCTTCAGAATCGTACAAATTGTGCTCAGGATCCTTCTTATTTACTGTATGATTTTATCTATTTGTAATGCAACATTGCATGAGCTTCTATGAGGTTGAATTTAATAATCTCTGTAGAGTGTCTTGAGATACTCAGGTTTGAAGTGCTATAGAAGCATAAAATATTAATGTTTTGTCATGCAACTTTTAACTTCTATTTTAGAATAAATACAGCTAGAGATAAGCACATCAGGTTCTGTCTGGGATTGCATATCGTTAATAAAAAAGTTTTCTAATACTAAACAAAAGATCAAGGAAGACAATAAAAAATATTACTTCAGAGCATATTGTAACCACTTGTGAGTTTCAGGGCTTCTGTTACGCGTAACAGTATTTCTAAATGTTTCCATGAAGTTATTAGTGCGTGATTGTACCTGTGTTCTATGCCATTACATTTCATAAAGGATGCAATTTTACAAAAACTAGATACAATATTCCTGACAGTTTCCATGTTTAAAAAAATTAATGAGGTCTTCAAGTGGTTTGTTTGACCCACTCAAAAACTTTCTGCCTTAAATTATGTTGATGTAAATCAGCATTTTACAGTCCTGGTTCAGTAATATTATTAATTCCTGTTAGGTTTAGACCCACCAGTATTTTTAAAAAAAAAAGACAAACCAACCAAAACCTTTTTTTTTTTTTTAATATCAAAAGGATAATAACACCTTCTTTTTGACTGTGTAAAAATGGGGCGCTTTTCTGATTATCACATGTGGTTGACTGTTAGAAGATCCAGGTTCAGACCCTGCAGTGGTGGTCTCTGTCACTTTGTAAAACAACATAATTTCCCTGTCCTTCAGATTTGTCCTCTTTCTATTCCAGATTCTTTGATTGAATTGTAAGGATTGATTTAGTGGTTTAGGTGAGGTTTTACTAAAGGGACTTAAAGCCATCATCTTCTGAGTTATGTGACTGTCACATGACAGTACAGTGGCTTCTGCATCGCGAGAGGTGGTCACATAGCTTTTCAGTGCCAGTGTGGGAGAGTTCAAGTTCTACCTGGGCTACAGACTTCCTGCATGGACTTCAGAAAAAATGAACTTCTCTGTAACACAGTTCCCATTTTTAATGGAAATAATGTATCTTCCTTCTGCTTTTTTCCCCCATCTTGTCTATTCAGATTGTAGTCTCGGTGTGGCAGAGACTGAGAATGTGCTTATTAATGTATGCTCTAGACTACTGTGAGGTTTCTATGCAATATTATAAAGTATAATAGAGTTATATAACATATTTCCATCTAACAAGTTGTAATATATGAGATTGGAAAACCGTGATCCAGGAATGGGTTTCCAGATTCTTTTACAAGATAGTAATTTTCATATTATGCATTTGTCCCTCTCAGGGCTGCCAGTGTAAGATTTATAGTAATAAGAAATTTTAACTTTCTGAAGACCAGTAAGAGAAACTAATGCCAACAAAAATGTTGGTACTAAATTTTTTAAAATAACAGTTTTCTTAAGTGCAACATAAACATAATATATGCTGGTGTGTAACATTTATTAAAGGAAAAAGAAGTCCTAATCATTTAGGATAGCTTGAACAACGCATACAGCTACAGTTTTTTATTACAGTGCTTAGCCAGATACCAGTTCAAATTTTTTATATCGCAACAGATCACAGGGTAATCTAGCTTTTTATTTAATAATAATTAGGTCCCATAATGTAAACAGCTGAGAAGGGAAACTGAGAATAGTAGGTGTACCATTTCCTTTTTGGCCAAGGCATATATATTCTAAACTGAATTCTTTCTTTCCAGCAGTATATTGTAAGTGTGCACCCTTTTATTTGTGTATGGATTTTTTAAGACATTTTCTTGGAAATAAATATATTGACCCCTCTAAGAAACATGTGCTTTAAGAATATGTAATTTTAAAAGTATGCTTTAGTAAATGTTAAAGAGGTTTTTACTTCAATACTATCCATACTTTAATTTAGTATGATTATAGAATAAATATGAGGAAGATTTTCAGTAAGTTCCTGTGTCTTAGGAAAGTCTGTGGGTTCTAGTTTATTGTGTTCGGTTTCCATGTTACTGAGAGGTTGTAAAGCTAGGCTATGATAAAATTAAATTTATTTGGTCTTTCAGGTCCAGCCCATACAAAGACATATAAACATGCTGAAATTTAAGTTGAAACTGTTTCAGTCAGTGGGTTTACAGCTAACTGTGTATAAGTGTAGTCTATTTGTATCACAAGTTTATGTTCCTGAGCAGATTGGCTTTGATCTCTTTCTGTGTCAATCATTAATAGACATGTAAATTTAAAAGCCTTTTCCATTTCTACTATTGTTTCAGGTAATAATTGCCCTTGCAGAGAAAAACCGGTCCCACATTCCTTACCGAAACTCTATGATGACCTCAGTGCTAAGAGACAGCCTGGGAGGAAACTGTATGACTACCATGATAGCAACACTCTCTATAGACAAAAGAAACATAGATGTATGTTATTTCCATCTATTTTCAACAAAAGATGTTTTCACTTCTTAAAAGATCCTGACTTTTATTACAGTTTGCAATTCAATTGTGTATGGTTTCATTGTCATCCTTACCAAGAAAGAAATTTAACTTTGTTTCCAGGAGAACAAATTCTGTCAGTGGAAATTGCAGTAAGATGTAGAGAAATCCTTGAGGAAATGTGCTTTTCTCTAAATAATCTCAAGCCAAGGAACAGTTGGGAGATGACTTGCACCTAGTAAAGAACCAATATTTTTTTTGAAAAAATTACTGTTTTCCTGATGAATAAATCTTTGAGTTGTGAAAAGGCTTTTCCAAAGGACATATTGGTGAGATTTATAAGTAGATTATGGATCACACTGAAAGCCTTGGCAGAACTTCTGTAGACCTCTGTGGAGTCAGGATCACACTACGTATGGTAGACAGCTGGAGAGTTCACTGGAAGGAAAAGGGAATTGGGTGGGGTGATTTGGAATTTTTCAAAATTTTTCAAATATCTTATCTCCATTCACCAATTTCTTGCACTGGAATTCTATGTGGTGATGTTTTCTTCTCTTTGTTTATCAAAATATGTCACGATGTGAATACACAGAAGCCTGCTCAAAGGCATTTATAATCTATCTGTTTCCTGATTTTCCATAGCATCAAAGGATTCTAATGTGAATAAACAAGAAAAAAAACTATTAAACCTAAGACTCTTTTCTGAAATACAGTGGAAAGCATTATACTAAAACCATACTTTATCTAGTTGAAGACTTTTTTTTTCTTTAGAAAATGGTCTTTACTGTTAAATGAAAACAGATTTTTGAGACTTGTAAACATGTAATTATGCAAGCATGATGTCTGGTTACAAACACAGCTGGATAAGTTTGTTAATGTTTTGTTTGGGTTTTTTTTTTTTTTTTAGGCTGTGTGGGATAGACACCCTTTTGTATATCAGTTCATCAGGTGTATCTAGCTGACACTGTAATCTAGGTTTCTCTTTTGGGACTATTTAGCCCAAGCAATTACCCAAAGTAGGCTACTGAAAGTTTTCATGTTTGTGCTTTAACATTATACCATCTACACAACAGACCTTCTTCTTCAGTCCTCCCAAAAATAAATAAAAAAATCCTTACCCTGCTCCCCAAAATGTGATATGTCTGTGTAAGACTAGGACAGATGTTAAGTCAATTACTAAATGTGAGAAAACATCAGAATTAGGATAGCTACGTAATTTTGAGTTTTGTGTGACATTATGCATGGTTTTGTTTGGTTTGCTTGTTGGTTTTTTTGTTTTTTTTTTTCCATTGGACAGACATTTGAGTCACAAAGGAAGCACAGGACAGAATTACCCCCCAATATGAACTAAAGTTCTGTAATAAAAGCAGCTTTCTTAAGGACCTAGCTTTGTGTCTTGCTAGGAAAGCAATGAAGCAGAGAATTCAGAGTAAGAAAGGACACTCTTATGAAGAGGACAAATAGAATATTATCCTAGAGATCTAGATTATATTCCTACTTCTACCAAAGAGTTGGTATACAACTTCTCACATCATCTACATCACATTTTCTGTGCTAGTTTTGTGGAGTGCTTGAAAGATGATGTTGATTCTGAATTTTAGATATATTAATTATTATAGCTGTGACTGAAGTTGAATGGAAGTTGTTTTGAACAGATTGTATAATGATAATAATCAAATATAATTTTTTTTTTGTACTTTTGACTTCAGCTTCCCTTCTGTTAAGTGTAGTCATTCCACCCACTTGCAGCAAAGCAGTACCTAGAGGGTTAATTGATTAATTTTTGTGAAGCCCTTAGGCACTATAATGATAAGCATGGCAGAAAAAATGATTAGGAAATTAGTAGCTGTCAGCTTTGATTACCATTTTGATGGCATAAATAGATCATAAGCTTACATATTGAATATTGAAGACTGAATTGATTAGCTACTCATTAATTTAACACATGCTTCACACTGAACAGAGCAAAGTGAAAATGTATGTTATGTGTACTGTACATATAATAGTACTTAATATATTACAGAGCTTCATTAAAATCATTTTAGCTGATCATCATAGCACAGGAACTGTACAGCAGAGGCAAACATAGAGTCCAGCTAAGACTATGTGCAGGTCTCTTAATTGTAAGACCTTCCTTTCCTTCCCTTGAAAACTCTTCACTGATTCTGTGTGTATATATTATGTCTTTGGCAATAAACACTGGTATCTTTCATCATGCAATCCTAATTCAGATACAACCCCTCCAAGTACTGAAAGAGACAGAAATCCTGTGGAAAAAAGAGTATGTGATCATATATTTGAACTGGTATTTCAATATGTTGGAGGACTGAAAACTGCAGAATTACTTTGATTCTGAAATACAAGTCTGTAACAGTAGTAAAGTTCTCAATGTAGGGGCTATGTGTAAATTCTTACATTTTAAATCAAGACTGGCACATCTCAGAAAATCTTATCATCCAGTTTATCAAGCATCATTGGAACTTCTAAGACTCGTGCATGGTGTTTTATTCTTTGAGCTAACTGAGAACAATTGCTGGCTTTCTATTCACTGGGTAGATTAAGTTTTCTAGCAGGATCTGATATGTAAGTATTGACTGATCTCAAAGGAGGGAACAGTACTAAGGGATCCTCTATTTCATTCTGTACCCTAGGTGCATACCCTGTGACTGGCTGTCACAGTTTCTTCCAGAAACTCAGTCTTGTGTCATTTTTTGGGGGGGTTGGGTGGGGGTTTTCTCTGCCTTTCTGTCCTCCTGCACCCTATCTTAGCTCATCTGATAGGTTTTTTACCTGGTATCATAGTTCTCCTGTATGCTTCCTAGTTTCAAGTCTCCCAGCTTGTTTCTCATTTGTCCTGGACTTCCACTCCTTCCCTTCATCTCTTTTCCCAGCTTTTTTAACATACACTTCTCCAGTCTCATTTTCACCAAAAAAATTTGGTTTAGTTAATTTTCTCTTTGTCTTATCATTCAAAAGTTTTTACCTTCTGAGTAGTGTGGCTCTCTTATTCTTTAGTGCCAGCTGGGGACTCATTTGAAACACAATTGATCAGGGAATTGACTGAGTTAATAAAATTTGTACTATGATTTGACAGTTTTATATGACACTATGATTTGACAGTTTTATATGACACTGTAATTAATATGCCAGCTGAATTTACCTTGAATATTGGGGTTTTTTTTGAATATGGAAGGGTAGATTATTTCAGTAAAATATACAAAAAATGGAAATTTAGTTCAATGACTTCATTAGCAATCTTTTCTACTTACCTAGTGTAAAGCTAACTGAAATTTTTCTTTTTCCTTTCTTTCTTTTGTTTTCTTCCAGGAATCTATATCAACCTGCAGATTTGCACAGCGAGTTGCTCTTATTAAGAATGAAGCAGTTCTGAATGAAGAAATTGACCCCAGTTTGGTGAGAGTTGTCTGGGGGCAGAGGGAAGGAGATTGCTTGTTTTAAGTTTTAATAATCAATAGCAGTGAAATGGATGTTGAGGATTTTATGCTGAATCATCGCATTAAATTGTTTTGAGATGCAAGCTCCAATTTTTTCTATAAAATAACTACTATTTTTATTTTTTCTTTTGGACATAATTATAATTAAATGGACCTTTGTAAAACCTCTAAAGGTTTTCTCAGCTCTTCAGGCATCTGAGGAGCAATGGTCACTTTAATTATCATCTTTGTGTTGCTTCTTTTAGGGTATTAGTTTCTAAATCATAGTCACAGATAATTGGATGTCCCTAAAACTCTTAAAAATCTACTAAGATTACTAGTGACTTGATGATGGCATGCTGCTGCAGTGAAACAGTTCATGTATTAAAAAGCTAAGAAACATACAGATACAGCCCTTCCTTGAGATTGGTCCAGGAAAGATTTTAGCTAGGAAGAATGAACTCTGTAAAGTTACCATTAGGAAAAAAAGGAAAACAAGTAAATGAGATGTAGAAATAGGATTTCCACACTAAAGCATTAGGCTGATGTTCACATCCCAAAGAGCCTCAGAGGCACTCTGCAGAATGGATTGGGGATTTAGAAAGTGCAGAGAAGGACAGAGGTGATAATCCACATTAGTAAAGCACAAAGCATTGCCACATAAAGAAAACAAGTTTCTTCTTTTAATGTGCATAACAAAAATGTACTTTATTTTTCTTTTTAGTATTTGGTTAGTCTTTCCTTTGAAAGATTTTATATGCCTCTAGCTTGTTACATACCAGATTTGTTTGAAGATGTGCTTTGTAATAAGTTCTCCTATGTTAAGAGGCCTTTGTTAGTTTATTTAATGTAATTTTCTGCATTACCTGGAAAATTTATTTCCTTTGTAAATATTAAGTACACTTATTAAGGATTGATTTATTCAACGTGGCATTGCAGATAATGATAGCTACTGGATCAGCTGGGTTGCATGCTGTATATCAAAGATGTTTTCTGAGATAGGAAATGTTTGAGGTTACACTGATCATGCCAAAGCTGCATATATGAATATAATGAAGAAAGAACTATGGATGCATTTCAGCACACCCTCTGTCTCTCACAAAGACATCAGATGAAAAATAAGTTCAGGTTAAGCTTTTATATTATTCTGTTTATACATAAACAGACAATACTTAAAACATAGTTTTTAACAACATAATTACAAATTTGAACTGTAGCTTTTCACCTCTAAAGAATATAAAATCTGACTGAAATATTCTCATTTCAGTGGTCCTGTATATTTTATAATATACTAATCACACCATCATTCTTTTTAATTGGCAAAATTCTTACTGTATCTCTAAATTTCTCACAACTAATTTGTAATTACAAGTTCTATGTATTTTGTTCTCATGTGACTTTCTGAACTGGCTAGGAAATGCTTTCCCCTTGAATGCCAGACTGCAGAAAGCTACTTTATATAGCATAAAAAGCATTTGTTGTCTAAAATTAGATTAGATGGTTGATTAATTACTTAATATATGTTACTTAATATATTTCAGTTACTGTTAAAGATTGGGCTTTTCTTTTCTCTTGTCTTTGAAGTTCAAAGGGAATATGAGATTCTTTTTAGGTTTCCTACTGTTTTTATTTTTTTATTATTATTTTATTTATTTTTCTTGCCAAACCATTTCTAACAGTAACAGCATCAAATACAAAAAAAAAAAAAGCGACCAAAAAATAAGCAAACAAAAAAACCCAGTAGGCACTGAACAACTTCATTTCTGTCTGTCATTTTTTTTCTTTCCTATGTAGGCTTTCTAGTAGCAAATCATACAAAACATTTCTTCTATGGTCACAGAAGCCTTTGATTGAGGTGGAACACATTGCAGGCTCCTGAACATTTACTGCATCCTGTGGAGCTATACTCCACAAGTTTGGTATGTCTCGCTCTGCAGGATCATTTAGCAAGTAAAGCAAAAGTGGACTCATGAGAGTGAGAAAACCGTCCTCTCTTGTGGAAAAGGCAGGGGAACACAGGCACCTAGACTCTATATGGCTCTGTGGTCATTGTGGAATTTGTTGCCCCTCTTAACTACCTAAAGTATATTTCCAGGGTGCAACCTTAGTATTCAGTAAAGTGCTGGACTTAAGACTTTTTTTTTTCCCCATAAAATCAAATGCCATTTATTTACAGTATTTATCATATGTAAGTTAAATGCAAGCTTAATAAAGGGAGTGCATAATACCTCTTTATAGATCTGAGTTAAGTCTGACTTGTGTAAACTTCTTCATAATGGAGACTTCCTGACTGTGTGTCTAACTAAGAAGATGAACTTGTACCCATTGTGCTTTTTAAGCAACTCAGCTTTGAACCTCTCCCACTCATGACCAAAGGACTTGCTTTAAACTGAAAATGAAACTGTTGAGCCTGAATTAAATCTAATCTCCTCTGGCATTCATTTAAAAATGAAAATATTATACTTCTGTAGATTTTTGTTTGTCTTAATAATATTTGAAAATCAATCTTTTATCCATATCCTGAAAATGGTATTTCTGTTGTTGTCAGATTGAGGTTAATCACGCTAACAAATTTGAACATGGATGGTACTGTCAGTTCAGCTTTCAGCCTTTTTTTTTCCACTCCAGCCCCAAATTTTGTTTTATTGACTCAGCATTGGCACAGACTACATCAGAGTGTGGCACCAGAGTGAGGCAACCTAAAATCAAGTTAAAATGTTTGGCCTGCAATATTCTTGAAGCATTCTTGTAACATCTGCAACTGATAGTACACCACCATAAATAGATTCTTAAATATAATAGTGTAAGTTAGCCTTTCATACTTTATAGTAACAAATGTGCTACCACTAAGTTTAGAGTTAAAAGAAATAATCATATGTATGTTTAGAATATTTTGATTTTAAAGTAAAAATACCTGTTCAAAGCTTAGGAAGTCATGGTTAAATTTAAACATTAAAAGAAATACAAATGTTTGAAGGAATTTTAACATCTAGTGAAAATGTGTCATCAATTTCAACAATCTTTTTTCTAGAAAGTGCGTGCAATCAAGGATGATTCGTTTTTCCTTGAAAACATTCTTGTCTTGGAAACTTATTTTGCACATGGAATCAGTGTGCTCATATCCATCTAAAAATATCATTAGACTCTTGATGCATTTGAGCCATTATAAGGTGATGCATCATTAAAATGATCAGTCATAAAGTATCCAAGAACTTGCTCATTCATGTTTTAGACTTAGGGACTTGCATATTATCCCTGCTTTGTAGAACTTGGCCTTGGAAGGCTAAAGATTTGTAAAATATGGTTTTATAAAGATGTATTTTTCCAAATGTAGAGGCTCCAATAATGAGCTATTCAAATTTAAAAATCTGGTATAGTTCTCCAAGTCACTTTCTCAGTCATTACTATTCATTAATGCAATTTAATTTCATTATGTTGATTTGTACTATTCATTTGTGGTTAACAACTGATTCATCTGACAAGTATAGTATGCTATAATTCTAATGAGAGTAGAATGTTCCATGAAAAAAAAAAAAAAAAAAAAAAGAAAAGATTAAAATACAAAGATGTTGGTTTGGAATTTCTGTTTCTAAAGGGAAGGTTAAAAAAAATCACTTTTGGTGTGTAGTTGTCCTTTCTCTCACAAACACATCAGTCCTATTTTAAATGTGTTTTCATTACTAGCAGGCAAAACTAATGAGTCAGAAAGCTCTTTGTATTCCTGTGGCAAATCATTTTTTTCTTTTGCAAGTAATCTCTTGAACTCTTTCTGTACAGCCATGTCCTCTGACACATAGAATTTACTGAGTTTGGAAGAATTTTCTTGTTTTTATAAGTGGAAAAGGAAAAAAGTTCTTGGTGTATTTAAGGCATTTGGACTGTTTTTAAAAATGAGATGTTGTTTAAAAAAAAAGAGAAAACCAAAGTATAATATTTCCCTAAACTCAGCCTTCTAATGCAGAAATCATAAACTAGCTATTAATTTGTAGGTGATGCTTGGTTTATGCCTTGCTGTTTGTAGATGATTGCCCAGCTGAAAAAGGAGATCCAGGAGTTGAAGGATGAGCTGGCGCTGGTGACTGGCAAGCAAAGAACGTCAGAGCTTTCACAAGAAGAGCTACTTCAGTAATGTCTTACATTGTTTTCATTTTCTTCTTTTGTGGTGATACTTTTCATCCGTTTCTTTGTTGGCATAAATATTTAAATTAATCTCAGAATTTTAAACTTTTCTGAGCGAATAATAAAGTGAAGTTAGGTGCCGGGTTAGAATGGCAGTTTTCCATGAAAAGCTGTGTGAGGCTGCTGGCTGTGTTTTTGCAGCCTCAGCTTTGAGGAAGTGAAGTGAAGTAAACGCAAAAGATGGGAATGCCTGTCAGATGCCAGGCAAAAAGAAGTGTTGTATAATAGTGCAGAATAAAAAAAAAAACAGTCTCTCTCAAAACTGGACATATGATCTGAGTAGAATTCAAGAAATATTCTTTGTGCTGAGAAGTATCCTGCTGCAGTGTTAGTTTGACATAGGCCAAGAGAAATCTTGCATTTCTGATACACAATTAATCAATGTCTTAAAAGCCAAATATTCACATTTTTTACTAAGCATGCTATTGAAAATGCAAGATTAATTCACATAAGTGTTGTAACATCTTACAGCTTTTCGTAACATCAGTACAGCATGCAAGAACTTTTTATGTATAATGTAGAAATATTTACTTAGGGCTAAATGTTCACAATAACTAAATTCAATTCCCAGTTTTGAAAAATTAATTGATTCTGTAGGATGGACCTGTTGAATCTCTGTGTCTCATCTGTATAAAGACAGTAGTAACTGCCTAGAGATTTTGTTTGGTTAGTCTTTTAATGGTAACTAAGTTGAAGCTGTGAGAATTTTTTAGTCTTATTTTAATTTCTCTTGGAGCTGGTCCAGAAGAAAACTATCAGTGCTAACAATCTCCCTTGGCATCTAGGAGATTCTTGAGACATAAGGACAAGCTGCTACCTTGAACCTTGAGTTTCTTATGCAGATTGTTGTCATTCTTAATTTTTGGGTTTGATTGTTTTGTTTTAAATCAGAAACTGAATTACATCCGTATCAAGGATGAGGAACTAGATAGCATTACGTATATATTTTTTTATTTTTTTTACACCATTAATCTGAGTAATTTTCAATATAGGCAGTTACCAGTATAACCTTGTATCCAGAACTGTCCCCCCAGTTCCTACTGCCCAAAAGTATGGGAGTCAAATGCACCAAGGACATTACAGGGTAGCAGTGGATGTGACAAAATCAAGCCACAGAAAGAAAATGAAAGAACCAACAGGAAAAGAGAAATATCTTTCTTTTTCTTTACATGCAAATTAAATGCCCTTATTAGCTAGTTTGTTTTTAACCTGACAGAACTAGTCCTTCAGAAGATGAGTGACTCTCATTCAGATATACTTAAATAATCTATATATTCATTTAAAGATGTACTTTCCTAACATTATTGTAAAAATCTGTCACATGAATTTTCCACTGTGGTCTTGTTTGCTGTTTAGTTTGTACAGGGAAACTGGGCTTTTGGCAATCATTTAGGTTTCTTAGGCCACACCCATGAATCTTACTTCCTAAGATTTCCTACCTGACTTTTTGCCATGAAAACGGCAGTCTTATAATCAGGAATGGGTTCACAGTTGATAAAAGTATTTAATATGAATATGCAAAGGAAAACTGGGAACATACCATCTGCATACAGTTGCATTATAACATACGTCTGGGAGGCCTGGTTTCAGAAATGTGTGACTAAAACCTATATTGGTTGTATGTTTTTCCTTTTTATCCATATAGCACAATATGTAGTGCATTACATCATTGTCAGAAAAGGTTGCTTCTGAGATTGTAGCAAGCAATTTTGCATCCTGTTTCTCCAGAAAGAAGCAGGAAGGAGACTTGAATGAGTTTCTACCTGCAGTAAGGCAATGAAGGAGAAATAACTTTCAAGGATGTCAGCTATGTTAGAACAACACAAACTTTAAAGTTTTTTAAATTTATCACTTATTCATGTTTACTCAGGGCCATGTAGCATGTGTGTTCATTGTTTCAGAAATAAGTTCTTTCTTGGAACAAATGCTCTGCAATTAAAATACAGAACAAAAGTTTGAGATACAATACTTTTCCTGAAGATCAATAATAAACAAGAAGGACCTCAAACAATTAACCTCGTCCATCCCAAATGCCATATAATGGCCTTCTTCGAAGATCATTATTTTTAATATAGACTTAAAATGGAAAAAAGAGTTGGATATACAGAGGTTTTTCTGGGTAGCATAGTTTCAAGCAGAGAGCAGAAGATACTACTGGAGAATAACTGTCATGTACATGAGTCAGATTGGCTCTATATGCTGTGGTTGAATGGAACGTTGAAAGATAAATCAATCCTTTTTTTAAACAGTTCAAGTGGGCGAAAATATCAAATGTCGTGTTTTATGAATTTTGCATTTGTGTGTGTTCTTGCAAGCAGAGTGTTCACACGTAAACAACTGATGTGGACTAGACACCCTAATGGAAGTATGATGAAATGATAGTGTAAAAAGCCACTTCTTCAATGAAAATATCTTTCTGTGGTTTTGAACACGTATACATTTTGAACTTGCTTTCGTATGGCAATAATATTTGTGACCATGCTGGTTTACATCTGTCTGAACCTCCTATCCATAAATATCCTGAGCATTTATGAAAATCAACAGATAGCATCTAAGTGTTCTGTCTCCAGTTAGAGTCTATCAATGTATAACACAGCAAATCTTTATGACAATTCTGTTTATTGAGACTGGCCATCTGAGTTTAGAGCTACTCATTATCTGGAGAGTTTGTTCACATTAGAGAATAAATATACAAGTTAGTAGTCCAAACAGAAGTATTGACCTGGATGAGGGCTGATAAAATCATGATTTACTGTTACTGGAAAATGTCTATGTTGCAGTTTGCATTTATAATGAAACCTAAATAGTATTACTTATCAGGAGACATATGGATCAGATTGTTATGACGGAAAAGGAAAAGAAGCATGGTAGAGTTGATAATGCACCATACTGTATTGCACTTTATTTCTTTATTTGGAGTCGCCACACAAGAATGGTTCATAGGGGAGCAGTACTATAGGGGATTCCAGACAGAAAAATCTTTTGGAGTTTTTTGTGGGTTTTTTTGATTGATGCTTTTATAATATGCATAGAGTGAAAATTATAATTAGAGTCATTGTGGATTTCAAATAGTGTTTAGACATTTCTGCTTAGTTAGGATATCTTCTGTTTAAACTTAAACTGTATCTCAATATGTGTGTGTGTATATATATATAAATAATCCAAGTTTACATAGTTCTTTTCAAAATACTTTAACAAAAGTCTTACTGTGATTCATTTTATTACAAATAAGGTAGAATCATAGAATCTTTAAGTTTGGAAAAGACCTCTAAGATCATCGAGTCCAACCGTAATTAACTAGTAAGGAGAAGTATTACTAAATTTAGTCTCATTAAAAATGGATGTGTTTTATTCTTCTTATTCTGATTCAGCACACATATTTCAAGGAAAGTCAGAGCAAAATTAATCTGCTAAAAGCACTCTGTGCCAATTTTTTTTTTTAATTTATTCTTTGATTCTGAACACAGATGATCAAAGTTACAAAACATGTCAATGAAAAACTCTGTGCACTAAGTACATATTTATTTTGTTGTCTCTGCACAAGTCTTTATCTCAGGCACTTTTCAGTAGAAGATGGATGCCAAAAAGAAACTGGGTCCAGTGGTATATGTGTAGATCCAATAATATTTTTTTAGTCTAATAAAATGGTTATGGTAATGCATAGGTTTTTGGCTCTCTAGATATGTTGCAGGAAATAAGTGTTAGTGATTGCCCTGAAAATAAACATCATTTTAACATAATATTAATACTTTGTATGTTTTTTGACTTACTAAGTCAAGAAATGCCAAACATTTCTTACAATAATGAACTTCATTCCAGTTGTTTACTTTCCGGGCATTCCCAATGAAATCAGTGAGCTACTCAATGCAGTTAAAATTGCTAAATATTTGAAGTTAACATGTGACGAATAAGCTGTAATTCATTCTTCATTGAGTTTTATTTTCTCACTTCAATAAAAAAAAGTCTTCAGGGATTTCTTATTTTATTATTTATTCAATGGAAGGAAAAAAAAATCTGTGAAATAGGCTTTCCTCATAACCACTACAATGTCACATTGCCATTCACTAAGTTTAAAACAAAATGGAAAACAAATGCTCTTGACTTTTCTTGTGAATGCTAAATTATAATAGAACACAACTTTATCAGTCCTGTAAATAAAGCTACAGCTGTCTCGAATTCTTACTTCAGAATTCTGTGTTAAATTGTAAGCATTTGCATTACTATGACATATTTTTGATTTTATTATTTTATTCTCATAAATGTTAAACATACATGAATTTTGCTACTCTCATTTTGTTTATTTAAAAAGCACAGCATAAAAAAATTCAGCTAGACTACATAAGTGGTTCAGAACATAGTTCATGAAATGCTTCAGAGATCAGCTTCCAATGCTGATCTCTAAATATTTCTTTGAGCTGGAGAAGTAGTTTCTTGGGGGGGCAGGGGGGAGAAAAAAAAAGGAACACTTTGAACTATTTTTATAACATATAGAAAATAACATCATACATCCCGAATAGAAGGAAATTGTACTCTCACAGGCTTCTGTATTATGCTTTAGAATAGAATTAAATGGCATTCAAATGTATTGGTTTTTTTTTTGTTTTTTTTTTTGAGAAGCATGCCAAAAGTAAAAGGGAGAGTCTTTTTTGTTTGAATCACTTGGGATTTTTTTTTTTTTTCTGTTATTATAAATGAGCTCACTAGCAATTTACAATGTGTGCCCAGAAAGTCAGGATTTCAAATCAAGGTCCTGTGTTCCAGAGCACCCACGCTTCCAGAGCCTTTGCCAGTTGGAATTCTCTAGGAACAGCACCGGAAGTACTGGCTTAGCACTTTAATTTATTAATAACTTTACCTTATTTCTTTCAGATACATATGTTATTACAGACGCTTCTATTTTTTACTTCAACAGTCATACATTGTTCATCTTACTCAAGTCCTGGATT